TAACTTCAAAGGAACAAGAATTAAACATTAAATGTAAATGGATCATATGTATCAATTTAAAGATACAAATTGCCAGGAAGGGGGAAATCCTTTCTGAATAAGGTAACAGTGTAATCAGCTTGTCTTGAGGAAAAGCAGTTGTGTGATTGAATTGTGAGCTATATTAGCTGTTCATTTCCATAGTACAATATTTTTCCGGTGAGAGGGTGGTCAACAGATAAACTATCATCATTATTTGGACTTGTATTTTGCAGATATTTACTCTATAATGGTACAATGGCACATTGCTGCCAGTGATAATTTGAGCTTTCAAATGAAAATCAGAATTTTTGAAAATTGTACCCATCTTTGTAAGCATGACATTTTCTCAACACTAAAAAGTTTTTCACATGAAAAAAAAAATTTTTTAATTGAATAACTGACATACAGTATTGTATTTCAGTTGCATAACATAATGATTCGATATTTACATATATTACAAAATGGTCACACAATAAATCTAGTTACCACCTGAAACTATGAGTTGTTAAAAGTATTGACTGTATTCCCTATGTTATACATTACATCCCTGTGTCTTATTTTATAACTGAAGTCTCTCTATTACTTTTTACAACTTTATGTGAATCGATACTTAGCTCAATAAATTTTAATTTTAAAAAGTACAGATCAATATATATAGTATGCTACTTTTGGAGTAAAAATGGAATTACATTTGTCTGTATTTACATAAAGGTACACTGAAAGGATACTGAAAGTGATTATCTAAGGGTGGAGAGAAATGGGCAGATGCGGTAAGAACATGACTTTCCAATGCATAAATTTTTACAATGTTTTTATTTTTGAACCACATGATCGCATTATCTGATCCAAAAATATGTAAAATATTAAAAGTACCTTCTGTATAAAAGAGATCATAACTTAGTAAACATTCTATTGCTTGGGGAAGTACTCCAATTTCAGTTATTCTTACCTCTAACCTCTGTGTCTGATCCTTGCCCAAAAGGTCCCGAACTTCTTCATTATATATTTCCAAATAAGATACTCGAACCAAAAATCTATAAATAAAACATTTATAAGTATAAAAAATAGTGAAATAATTATAACAACAGGTTTTAAATGTTTATAAGATTTGTACCTGTATGCCTTTTTTAAGTTCAGACTTCTCAATATCAGAAAATAAAAGATTCTCTTTTTACCTTGTATCACCCTCTGCTTTTGCAATATGACCAAATATGTGAGCAAATGAATTTGGAATGATTCCTCTAAGTTCAGGAACAGCTCGAACACCTTCCATGGTAAAAGTTTTGCCTGTTCCAGTTTGTCCATATGCAAAAATTGTTCCTGAAAATGATAAGGAGACTCAGTCACTTTTTAGAGTCTATGCTACAGAACAATGGCTCTTAAAATTAATTTCTTTGACAATGTAGTACATTTTCTTCCCTGAATTTAAAATTATTATAGTACAAATAACAAGTGTTGGCGAGAATGTGGAAAAAAGGGAACCCTTTTATGCTGTTGGTAAGAATGTCAATTGGTACAGCCACTGTGCAAAGCAATATGGAGGTTCCTCAAAAAACTAAAGACAGAAATACCATTTGAACCAGTAATTCCACTTCTAGGAGTTTAGCTGAAGAAAATGAAATCCCTGATGCAAAAAGATATATGAACCCCCATTTTTTTTATGATCATGGTATGCTTTATAAGATTTTTTCTTTTTTTACTGAAGTATCATTGATATACAATCTTATATTGGTTTCACATGTACAACACAGTGGTTCAACAGTTACCCATATTATTAAATCCTTACCCCCTCACTACCTATCAGTGTAGAAAGATGTTACAGAATCACTGACTATATTTCCCATGCTGTACTATGGGTTTTTTTTTAATCCTAAAATAAATTCATTAAAAAAAACTTTTTAAAATAACAGCTATAAGAAATGGGGAGGGGAGGGTTAACAAAAAAAGGTTACAATACAGTTATTACTGGTAATTACAGACACAATTTAAACTTTCTAAAAATACCTAAATTCATTCATTCAACAAATATTTACCACACACCTGAGTCCAGCATTGTGCTAGGCAACAGGGACCCAGTGACAAGACAACACAATCCTTAATCTTATGGTGTGTATAATCCTGGAGTGGAGATAATGGTCAAATAATTTAAGCCAGATGAGTGATGGGAATGAGAAACAGAGTTCTACATGGGAGTAAAGGACATAATCTAGGCAGGAGAACTAATGCAGGAGGTAAAGGGAAGAGGGCAGGGAAGGCTTTCCAGAAGAGCTAAGGTTTAAGATACAATCTGAAATATGAAAAAGAATTAAATAGGAACAGAGTACACAGCAAGAGATAAGAAAGAGTATGGAGATTTTGAGGAAATTAAATGAAACCAAAGTGGGAGAAACAGAGATGGAAAACGTGGAGACAGAAAACTAAAGAAATCAGCAGGGGCCTAATCACATAGGGTCATGAAGACAAAAGTTAAGGCTTTGAGTGCATATCCTAAAAACAAAGTGAGGCCATAGAATGATTTCTCAGTCAGAGGACTAGTATCATTTTTGTAATTTTCTGTACAAAAAAAAAATAGAAGCAAGGGGAGACAAAAAGAAACGAGCTAGAGCGCTGCAGTAGGTAACAAGGTAAGAGAGAGTGCACATAACAGAAGGGAATAACAAAGAGAGAAGAATTTCATAGTTAGCAGTTAGGATCAACAGGACCTGGGAATAACTGCAGTTAAAAAGACAAGGAAAAGAACTGAGGATGACTTTTTAATTTCTGTCTTGAATAAGGGGATGTATGGCTATGCCACGTACAGAGGTAGTGAACACTACTAGAAGAAACAGCAGTTTGAAAGGGAAGATCATGAATTCAGTTTGGGGCATACTGAGCTTTAAGTGCCTATGGTATACCCAAATGGGTATGTCAAGCAGGCAGACAGATGGATGATATTTATTTGCCATAGTGGTGGATGAGACTTCTGCAGGAGACACTGTACTGTGAGAAGATAGTCAAGGAAGTGACGGTATAAATGAAAAAGGTTTCTCAACTATTAGCACTGTTCAATTACCTCAAATGTCATCATCATTTTCATATTTTTTAAAAATAAATCACAATAGAAGCCATGTTTTACACATGGGAATAAAAAGTCTATTTTTTCTAACGCATTAAATATTTCAAACTCTGCCATTAAGAATATACCCAATTGCATTCAAAAAGCTGAAAATATCATGAACTCATGGACTGCATTTTAGTACAGATAAACAGCTATCATTTACTGATCACTTGCTATGAGCAAGGCTATGTACTTTATATGCATTCTTATTTAATTTTCACCTGATCCTAACAGCTACACACTATTTGTATTTTCATGGTTTAGCTGAGGAAACAAAGGCTTAGAGATCTTAGAGATACTGAGTTACTTGCTTGATGTCATACTAAGTGGTAGAAATAAGATCTGTACACAGTCCATTTGACTCAAAAGCCCATATTTACCAGTAAGTAGTGACCAAAACTTTAACCCAAAATTAATTCCTAGTGCAATTTCTATGAATACATTATTCATTCATACATATATGAAGATTACAATTTTAAAAGTATATAAATCCATAATTTTAAGCTGAGGATCAGGAATCCACTGTAACAAAAGATTTGCATCTGGTTTTCAGAGATGAGATTCCAAAATTCTAGTTTTTAAATGTCAAACTTAACAAACATAATACTATTGTTTCCTTCAATATGAACTTCTCTTAAAACTCCACTATTAAAATTTTTTAAAGACCTTAGATTTTACCCAGTCTCATTTTCTGACAATAAAAAATGGTAGAAGGTCCACAAAAAACTTGCACCACATTTATAACAGCTTTATTCATAATTGCCACAACTTGAAAGCAACTAAAATGTCCTTCAGTAGGTGGAAAGAAACTGTGGTACATCCAGACAATGGAATAGTCAGTGTTAAAAAGATATGAACTACAAAGCCATGAAAGGAGGTAGGAAAAATTAAGAGCATATGTTACTAAGTGAAAGAAGCCAATCTGAAAGTCTACAATACTGTTTGATTCCAACTATATGACATTCTGGAAAATGTAAAACTATGGAGACGGTAAAAAGATTTGGGATTGTCAAATTTTAGGGGAGAGGGAAGGATGAATATGTGGAGTACAGAATGAAACTATTCTGTATGATACTATAATGGTAGATACATGTTCTTATATATTTGTCAAAACCCACATAATATACACCACAAAGAATGAACCCTAACGGTATAAACTATAGACTTTTGATGATAATGATGTGTCAATGTAGAGTCATCAATTGTAACAAATGTAACACTGTGATGCAGAATGTTGATAGTAGGGTAGGTTATGCATGTCTGGGGACAAGGGATATATGATAACTCTCTGTACTGCTCAATTTTGCTATGAACCTCAAACTTCTCTAAAAAATAAAGTTTATTAATTTAAAAAAATTAATGGCAGAAGGATTATGTACTTGCTATTGAGAATCCAAAAAGTTACAACTAAACCACAGAATAAACTGTATTACATATTGATAATAGATATTATAATTTCCTAATTTCTATCCTTTTTCAAAATGTTTTTCTACTTGTTACTACCAACAATTTTAGTCAGCATAATACACTGGAAAATAGGTGAAAATCCCTTGAAATTCACACAGTACTCTGTATAACATTTATTTTTAAAAATACATAAGTCTATCATAATTCTTCCAAGTGGTAAAGATACCTCAAGACAAATGCTGGGCATAGAAGCCACAGGGCATAAATCTGCAAAGAAGTAAAAAGCTAACCTTTTCAAA